ACACCTCCTATGACTAACGACACACACTTAACCAGTCTGGTGAAGTATGATCACCCCCCCCCCCCACCTCCTATGACTAACGACACACACTTAACCAGTCTGGTGAAGTATGATCACCCCCCCCCACCCCACCTCCTATGACTAACGCAGCGTGTCGGTTAAGCCTTCATCCAGCAGTGGATTATGTGTGGCCACGGCACAGAAGGAGTGGGTTTTGTTCATGGCCTTTTTGTTTCGTTTTTGAGGTTTTTTTTTGTTTGTCTCGCTGCGCTCTCTCTCGCTCTCTCGCTCTCTCTCTCGCTCTCTCGCCCTCTTTTTTTTCTCTCTCGCGACGCAGTTGCCACGGCAACTTGTCGCATCCTCAAGAATTCCCCTTTCGATTCGACCACCTAAGAGACCCGCAGCCACCGTGGTGCAAACCCTCGCTCCGCGCGTCGCGTTGGCCGGGAGACGGAACCAACGGCACGTCCAGGGCAGCAGCAGCGCTACGATATCACTCCACGCCGTCTCTCTCTTCCTTTCTTTACGATCAGTAAAAACAAGAAGATGCTCGGTGTAGTCGGCACTTTGCTTAGTTCATCATTTCGTAATTTTTTTTAATTTACTTTATGTACCCCCCCCCCACTCGCTCACTCTCTCGCTCACTCTCTCTCGTTCTGCACGCTTTCCTCTCTCCTCCTCTCTCCTCGTCTCTTCCCATCGTCGCTTCACTCCTCTGTCCCTCCCCTCTCTATTCACTCTCATTCGCTCTCCTCTCTCTTCTCTATACGGCACCCTCGTGGTGTTCACCTTCTGAAGCGCTCGCTCGTCACCGTGGCGTGCGCGATGACCACCACCACCACCACGTGACTTTTCTTTCGTGGTACTTGTAGCGCCACAGCGCGCGGATTTGTAGCGTTCATTTTCATTTGTTTGCTGGTGACTTCGTGTATTTCGAATCGAAATCGCCTCCAGTGCTGTTGCTGCTGGCGGCAATAAAAGTTGTTTAAAAGTCAAAAGTCTTCTCCATTCTCTCTCTTAGTTCCTCATTTCTTCACGTTTACACCATTGGAACCTCATTTGCCAGTAACAAAATATGATCATTGGTTTTTTTACCCTTTTATCTGGCGAAAAAAAAGTGTCAAGTTTTGTTGCCAGATAAAAGGGTACAAAAACAATTATCATATTCTTCACGTTTATTTATTCTCTCTTTTCTCTCCCTTCTCTATATTTCCCCTCTCCCTTCCCTCCTCTCCCTTCTCTCTCCCCTCTCTCTCCCTTCTCCATCCTCTCGTCTCTACTTTTCCACTTCTCTTCTCGTCGTACCACTTGCTCTCAACCCTGCACTCGCTCCTGCACCCTTATCCGCCTCCCATCACTTTCACCACCACCTTCCAAGCGATGCACGTCCCATCGGATTCCCTCTGTTTAAGTCTGACGAAGGAGCATGGCCTGAACCGTTGAATTTGCCCAGTGTTCTTGGTTTGCTTTTTGTTGACGATGGAAATGTGTGCATGGTGGCTGCGTGCCAGTGGGTTTAGAGAATCGCGTGAAGTTGATGGTCGTGCTGAGATGATTGATGGCGGTGATGATGAAGCATGATTTTTACACTCATTTGAAATATTATGATGATCATGATTATGTATATAACGTAGGATTGCTGCTGCAATAATGTTTTTTTTTCATGAAAATTAAGATAACGGAGTTTTCACGATGATAACAAACGGTGTTGATCATGCAACTGCTGCTCAAATTGTTGCTCCTGATCATGATTCTGCTGCTGCTCATGATGATACTGCTGCTGCTGATGATGATGATACTGCTGCTGATGATACTGCTGCTGCTGCTGATGATGATGGTGATACTGCTGCTGCTGATCATGATGATGCTGCTGATGATGATAATCCTGCTGCTGGTGCTGCTGATGGTGATACTGCTGCTGATGATGCTGCTGCTGATTATGATGATGAATCTGCTGCTGATAATACTGCTGCTGCTGATGATACTGCTGATGATGATACTGCTGCTGCTGATGAGGATACTACTGCTGCTGCTGCTGATACTGCTGCTCCTGCTGCTGATGATGATACTGCTGCTCCTGCTGCTGATGATACTACTGCTCCTGCTGCTGATGATGATACTGCTGCTGCTGCTGATGATGATGCTGCGTGCTGCTGATTGTGATGATGAATCTGCTGCTGATGATACTGCTGCTGCTGATACTGCTGCTGCTGCTGATGATACTGCTGCTCCTGCTGCTGCTTATGATGATGAAACGTCTCCCGCGCTAGTAGAACCGAAGAGGAAGGATTCGGGACCGAATCTCGGTTTATTCTCGGGTATCAGAAGATGCCTCCGGTGACGCAGGGAGCTGAGTAATGCATGTTGCGTGTATGTTAAACTTCTTTCGCACCGTACGTAGCCAATCGTGCTAATTGGAGGTGCAGGGGAAGGACAACAAACTAAACCCAAACGCAGTTTCAAAAAATGAGTTTGTAAATCTAGATGATGATTTAAAAGTGCGCACAACTCCAGTGGCTTCCTAATATCGGAAGGAAGAGCGTTCCAGACGGCCGCAGAAGCGCATCCAAAAGCGCGCGACGGAGAACAGCAGGCGTCTCGTGGCTTAGAGATCGTCGCTGAGAGGTGCGGGAGAGGTGCGGGAGAGGTGTGGGGAGAGGTGTGGGAGAGGTGCGGGAGAGGTGCGGGAGAGGTGGGGAGAGGGGTGGGGAGAGGTGTGGAAAGAGGTGCGGGGAGAGGTGTGGGAGAGGTGCGGGGAGAGGTGTGGGGAGAGGTGTGGGGAGAGGTGCGGGAGAGGTGTGGGGAGAGGTGCGGGAGAGGTGGGGAGAGGTGTGGGGAGAGGTGTGGGAGAGGTGCGGGGAGAGGTGTGGGAGAGGTGCGGGAGAGGTGGGGAGAGGGGTGGGGAGAGGTGTGGGGAGAGGTGCGGGGAGAGGTGTGGGAGAGGTGCTGGGGAGAGGTGTGGGGAGAGGTGTGGGGAGAGGTGCGGGAGAGGTGTGGGGAGAGGTGGGGAGAGGTGCGGGGAGAGGTGTGGGGAGAAGTGCGGGGAGAGGTGTGGGAGAGGTGCGGGGAGAGGTGTGGGGAGAGGTGTGGGGAGAGGTGCGGGAGAGGTGTGGGGAGAGGTGGGGAGAGGTGCGGGGAGAGGTGTGGGGAGAGGTGCGGGAGAGGTGTGGGAGAGGTGCGGGGAGAGGTGCGGGAGAGGTGTGGGGAGAGGTGCGGGAGAGGTGCGGGAGAGGTGCGGGAGAGGTGTGGGGAGAGGGGCGGGAGAGGTGCGTGAGAGGTGCGGGAGAGGTGTGGGGAGAGGTGCGGGAGAGGTGTGGGGAGAGGGGCGGGAGAGGTGTGGGAGAGGTGTGGGGAGAGGTGTGGGGAGAGGTGTGGGGAGAGGTGTGGGGAGAGGTGTGAGGAGAGGTGTGGGGAGAGGTGTGGGGAGAGGTGTGGGGAGAGGTGTGGGGAGAGGTGTGGGGAGAGGTGTGGGGAGAGGTGTGGGGAGAGGTGTGGGGAGAGGTGTGGGGAGAGGTGTGGGGAGAGGTGTGGGGAGAGGTGTGGGAGAGGTGTGGGGAGAGGTGTGGGGAGAGGTGTGGGGAGAGGTGTGAGGAGAGGTGTGGGGAGAGGTGTGGGGAGAGGTGTGGGGAGAGGTGTGGGGAGAGGTGTGGGGAGAGGTGTGGGGAGAGGTGTGGGGAGAGGTGTGGGAGAGGTGCGGGAGAGGTGCGGGAGAGGTGCGGGAGAGGTGCGGGAGAGGTGCGGGAGAGGTGCGGGAGAGGTGCGGGAGAGGTGCGGGAGAGGTGCGGGAGAAGTGTGGGGAGAGGTGTGGGGAGATGTGTGGGGAGGGAGTCGCAATGCTCGAGGGAGCGGTCGGGGCCAAGTGGTGGCAGAGGTGAGATGAGATTCGGCAGTGATTGGCAGTAGTGGCAGTGGTCAATCACGACAAATGATAATTCCGATCCTGGCCTCTTGGAGTTGCGACCTGATTTAAACAGAATCTACTTGAACTTGGGTGGTCGTGCCACTTTGGATTGTTGTTGGCTGCAGTGTTGGTGGTAGTGGTTGGTGGTGGTGGTGGTCGTAAAGGCGGTATGGGTGCTGTTTGTGCTGACGGTGCTACCGAGTTTGTGACGTCGCAAAACGCAGGAATGATTGTGCCCGGTTTATGCTGAGTGTGCGTGGCGTATGATGACGATTCTGATGGTGATTATAATGCAGACATCTAGTTTATGATGCTGTTGTGCAGCACATGGTGTCTAGTTTTTGATGATAAATAACGAACATGTATGTTCGTCACGTTGATGACGATCGTTATCATCATAATTCTCATACTGCAACGACTTTATGCTACATCACGCACGGTTATCGTGCGCGTCATATCTAGCGGTCCTTGACACGTTCCGTCAACATCACACTGCCAAATCGCACCCCCCCACCCCCACCACCCTAACCCCTACCCCCCACCACCACGACCAGCAGCCACCCACCCAACCCTCCCGCACCCCCCTACCCACGGCAAACTTTGTGCGCGCGCGCGCGTGCCGTGATCACCAGGGGGGTGGTGGGGGGGAGGGCAGCGGGGGGGGGGGGGGTCGCGTGCCCGCGCGAGCGCGCGACACCGCAGAGAAATCAACTCGGGTCGCGCGCACGCACGCGCGTTGTGTTCACTTGCGCGCGGAGCTCGACTTGCCCTGCTCGCTCCGTCTCCTTCGCCGCCGTCCTCCTCGCTCTTCCTAATCGATTTAGAATTACCTATCCTTACCCCACCACCCATCCTCCTCCCGATTGTTTTGCTTATTAGTTACGACGTCGTTGCGAGTGTTTAAAGTCCGCAGAGCGATGACGGAGCCGCGTTTAGTGCCTTCGCGCATTTAGGAGAGATGTCCCTTGCGAGAAGTTCGCAATGCAACGACACTCGTCTCGGCTCGCTGAGAGCACCGGCGCAGCCTGCGTGAGACGAACGGCGAGATAGGTGGTGGGGGGGGTGGGTGGGGGAGGGGGGGGCACAGCGAGCACAGCGATAAATCACGCGTCGCGTTTCGCGATCCAGCCGCGGCGGCCACCCACGACCCGCTCACTCCGGCGGTCACCGCGCGCCTTCGTGACTCCTCCAAACTCTCAATCGGAACGGGAACTTCAACATCCACTGCCTCTGTCCGTCGACGAGAGCGCTTTGCTCTTGGCCGGGGGAGTGGGGGGGGGGCCGCCACGAGCCACCCGCGGTTCCAGCAGGCCGAGCCATGGCACTTCAGTGCGGCGGAGACAGCGACGTGAAGACGCTTCTGAACTTCGTGAATCTCGCCTCGAGCGACATCAAGGCTGCGCTTGACAAGTCGACGCCGTGCAAGCGATCCGTGGATCACCGCAAGTACCTACAGAAGCAGCTCAAGCGCTTCTCGCAGAAGCGCGCGATCTACGGAGCGTCGGGCTCCGGATCTGGAGCGACCTCCGCGGGGGGCACCATCTCGTCATCCTCCTCTTCGTCGTCGTCTTCTTCGTCTTCGTCGTCGTCGTCGTCCTTTGCCTCGGGCGCAGTCTCCGGGCGGCATCCGACGCCGTGCGGAGGTGACCCTCGCTCCGCCTCGCTCCCCGCCTGCTCGGCGCTCTCATCGTCGGCAGAGAGCAGCGACGGGGAGTCGAACGCGTTCGCTCTCATCCCGAGGCCCTTCCCCGGCGCGTCCGCTGCCTGCGCCAGGCAACCGCCTCGCTTCTCGGCCGAGGAGGATGAAGACCACGAAGACGACGACGACGAAGACGACGAGGAAGAGATGACGAGGAGGAGGGGGAGGAGGGCAACCGCAACGGCGGCGGATCGTGGGGACCAGAGGATGTCTTTGTCGGCACCGCTAGTTGCTCGCTCGAGGCCTCCCATCTCCCACCACGACCCCTCGCGCAGAGCCACGGGGGCCGCGCCCGTGGCGTTCCGCGCCCTCGGCGCCGCGCAGCAACAGCAGCAGCAACAACAGCAGCAGCAACAGCAGCAGCAGCAGAACGTGCCGCTCAGGAAGCGACAGCTGCCCGCGTCCTTCTGGAAGGAGCCGGAGCCGGCCGAGAAGAGACCTCGCGGCGAGAGAGGAAGCGCCCTCGGCGCGTCGCTCGTCGCGCCGGGTGACCACCGAATCCGGGCGATGATGCGCGACGCGACGCGACAGTTCGCGACGCGCGCTGGAGTCGGACAACAACAACACCACCACCAACAACAACCACTACCTCCCCCGCTACCACCACTGCCACCGCTGCCGCCACAGCAACGACAGTCGCCGCAGCAGCAGCAGCAGCTGCTCCTCCTCCAGGGAATGGAACCGCTCGTGCAGATGTCGAAGGGCCACCTGAGCTTCCTGCAGGAGCCGCCGTCTTGCGCGGACGCCGCCGCAGCCGCCGTAGCGGCAGCAGCAGCAGCGTGCGCCGCGCACCCCCCGACTCGGCCGTACTGCGGTGCCGCCGCGTACGCGGGAGACGCGAGCGGCGCCTCCCCCTGCGCCTCGTGCTACGCGGCCGCCGCTTCCTACTACCCAGCTCCAGCGCGGTACCTCGGCTCCCTGCCCGCACCGCAGCTCGGCCACGTCGGGCACATCGGCCCCGCTTCGCCAACCGCGGCAGCGGCGGCGGCGGCGTCGCGACTGATGTCCGCCTACGACTTCTGGACGCGGTTCGAGGCGCGCACCCTGCAGGGCACGACCGAGCGGGGAATCGAACCTATGCTGCTGCACGGGGAAGGGATGGCCGGGCTGAAGGCGGCGGGGCTTTTGCAAGCGACCCCCGTGAAGCCCATCGTGTGGAAGCCGATTCCGACGAAACCCGCGCTGCCGTTCCCGTCGTCATATGCGCTCGTGGCTCGCCTCGACCCGAATGCGTACACGGCGTGAGCAGGAACTATCAAACAACAACAACAACAATAACGGTGCCCAGTCCTTAAGGCGCTATTGGGGTGACTACGTGCACTTTGAGGTCACGCGAATTGTCGAAGGCTCGGCGGCAAGAGGTCACATGAGGTCACGGCACAAGCCCTGTTCTAATGGGCACACACACACGTGGACACACACACGTGGACACACACACACACACTGCGGTGACGCTTTAGAACAGATTACGTGCAGCCAGCACCGACACGCACCTGTGACGCTTCTTTAGCAGCACGATGCTGTAATCCGTGACTGATTTATTTCGGGATGAGCACGTGGCGGATCTGCTCCACGGGGAGGATGCTTCTCAAGCACGTGTCGCGGCTGCGCCCACGTTGCGTCTATTGGAGATACCCCCCCCCCCCCTCCCATCGTACCCACAGCACTCTCTCTCTCTGAGAATGGCACTTTCCAAACCGTCGGTCTTCTCGTCACTCACGTGTAGAGGACACCGTTTATTGCGCAAGAGGACGATTATTGTTATTGTTTGGCACATCCGATGATTTTTGGGGGGGGGGGGGCTGTCCCGCGCGTTAATTTGTTCGGCCGCCGATTTCAGACACATCGCAAAAAAAAATCGTGAATGGGGCAGATTCTTCCGGAACTAAACTGAGCCCAGCACATGAAACGCAACTTCGGACATCGTGCAGAAGAACACGCGGCCACGACTAGCCCCCCCCCCCCCTCCGCCCCCCACCCCAAAAAAATACATCGGAGAAGCTTTCCAGCGGCATGCAGCCAGCAGCAGCAGCACGGGTGCGATTATCCAACGCAGACTGCAGCACCTTGCTGTCCTGAACGATGCGAAGAGGCCCCGTTTTATCCATGACATTGAGCGGATAGTGCCTCTCACGTTCAAAAGGAAGAAACACACGCAAGAGTCTGGAAGAAGAGGGGCCTTCTCGCCTACAGCAATCGGGACGTGCCCTGGCAGTCTGTTGATTGGCGTGACTCAGCTGATGAGCTCCTGTGAGAGCGAAGCGCGGTCGTGTCTACCGCAAGTGCCCAGAGGTGTCGTTATCGAAGCGCTGGTGTCGCTGACATTTGCGCGGGGTGATGTATCAGAGAGTAGAGACTAACACGTTTAAATATACATATATAATTTTGTAACCGAGAGAAAAGCGAAAGTTTGGTAATTTATATGTACATAGAGTGTCGTAGCAACACCGTCAGCAGAATCGATAGTTTCGTTATCTTCAAGTCATCGTCAGTAGCAGCTACATCAACGGCAGCATCATCAACATTTATCAACACCGTTGCTAGCAGTATCATCATTAGCAGCAGCATGTCATCATCAACAACGTAGTCGTATAAGCATCATCAAAACATCGTAATCATCACTTTGCTTCTCATGCGCAACTTACTACCCAGGTCCTTAATGCGTGACCTCCACACACATATGGAAGGGCTGCTTTGTGTAAGATGCTGATTGCATCATACGCAATCAGCATTGTTGCAAGATGCAAGACATGGGCCATGTTAGTGACGCTAGCTATTGGTTAACGTGCGCTTCCAAGTGTTAGACAATTCAAGGGTTGCACTATAACCATACAATGGACACAACCCGTTGCACCACAATTGCATATCGCTTGACTTCTGTTCATCATCAGCCATGGTGTATTCACTGCTGGATGAAGGCCTCCCCACGTACCCGTCGCCTTATCACGTTGGACCTTCGATGACCGAATCCGTCTCGCTCCCGCGCCACGAGCTGATCTCATTCTTCCACCTCGACGGGGTTTGCTTCTTCCTTTGTGCTGCCACCCTTCCGTCACCAGTCTCGACCCGAGGCCGTCGTCTCTGCTTGCCATGCTGCGTCCTGCCCAAGACCATTTTGCTTGTTTTTTTTAGAGCAGTCAAATGTGATGTCTCTATAAGGCTGCTTTCCTCTCTCCATGTCTCGTTGTCGTTCTCAGCGTGCAATCTCTTCGTGCTTCTTTGCGCACTTTTCAGCTTTTGGTTCACCTCTTTATAATACAGGTCGGTTTTTTTTTAGGGGGGGGGGGGGGAGTTAGATCGCGTAAATATGTGTCGCTAAACTCGCCACCCACGCGACACGGCTAATTAGCAAGGTTTGTCACGTACACAGAACATGCCAATTCGTTACTCTCCAACACACCGGTGTGCTGTACCAGTAACGAATTGGCCACCACATCTACGCCTCTATATAAGGAACGAAACAGGTGGACTGTTCCACAAGTCTGGCTGTCGCCTGATGAAGCTAGTTGTAATTACTGGCGAAACGTCGTACTCAGATTGTAAATGTTGTGGCTTGCCTCTCCAACACACTGGTTAGTGCTGTACTAGTACACTACACTATACACTACACACTAGTGCTGTACTAGTATACTACACTATACACTACATTATACACTACTGCTGTACTAGTATACTACACTATACACTACATTATACACTACTATACACTAGTGCTGTACTAGTATACTCACTATACACTACACTATACACCACTACTATACACTACACACTAGTGCTGTACTAGTGACGAATTGCCACGTTCTGTTTACGTGACAACCTCTTACTAGTTGGCTGTGTCGGGTGGTGGCGGATTTAACGACACATTTATACATTTACGCGATCTAACCCAAAAAAAAAACTGTATTATGGATATTGATCGCGAAAGCCTGCCACGTGTTAAACTGTTTCCCCTATCTTCGGCTGCGTCCGCGTTTCCGATGCACGTGTCGTAGCCCGCGACGCACCGATTTCAATATTTCTTCTTTCAGCCTTCAAACGAGTCACCAACAAGGAGTGCAATCTATTTCGTAGAGCGCCGATTTCCCACCTTGACCACGTCCTCGTGGCAGATCCCATTCACCTCGCCCTGTCTTGCCAAATCGTCAGGTACTGGCTTGGAGATGTTTAGAATCGAACGCCTTTGGCTGTGCATCTATCTCCAGTACTCGACTCACTGGCGCGTTCCAGCTAAATTATTGGCTCAATATCAGCTCTGTATGTGTGGGAACTCTCGCTCTCTCTCTCTCTTCTCTCTCATCTCTCTCCCCTGTCCTTCTCACCTCGCTGCTGCCCACAATGTGCCCACGTTATGTCTCTCCGTCTCGTCTCCAGTTCGTGAAGGGTTTGAGTCCTTCAGACGTCGCGTCCTTACCCCGGCGCTTCCTCCTCACATACCCCCCCACACCCTCCTCCTCCTGTGATGAAGGAACCCCCTAAACCTCCCACCCTCCCCCCCCTATCCGTGATCGACGGGCAACGAAGAGGCCTTCATCCAGCAGTGGATTGACAGACTGGCTGTGATTTTAGAATGTATTTTTTTTAAAAAGTCCGGAGAAAACTCCAACTAAGACTAAATTGGGCTGGACGAGGTTTTTGTTTGTGTGGCCACGTGTTGTGTAAGTGCACGCAGCGCGTGTGTCGTGTGTGTGTCGTGTGTGTGTGTGTCGTGTGTGTGTGTAGTGTGTGTGTGTCGTGTGTGTCGTGTGTGTGTGTCATGTGTGTTCTACAGGGCGATCCGTTTACAGATACCCCACTCAAACAAGTTTGGAGGAACGTAATCAGGAAAGGACGATTTTACTTGCAAGCCTCTGGCACGCGTCACCAACCAATCTCAAAACGTACACCTGGTCGACGTTTTGTGTCGTTTAAACCCTCGACAAGACACGAAGGGCCATCAACCTCACAGAGTCCTATCGACACATTGGGAAGGAAGTGATGGCGGGTCGTGAGAAACCGGCGAGGTATCTATAAACGGATCACCCTTTTCGTTGTGCATATTCATTGTTAATGTTATACGATCGAACGTGATGGTTAAATGTCGATCTAAAATATGTATATATTATTTTTTCAAGCGATTCAGGCACAAAACGTTGTTTTTTATATATATAATACAATAATGTAAAGCCTTAATAATTGTATTGTTAATGTTAACATACATGTGCGTGGAGGGGATGATTTATTGCTCAGATCCCCACTCCTTACTAAGTATGTGCGTGTGTATACACTGCTAGAGAATAGATGTAACTGCACTTACACGTCACAATATGAGCACAATATTTATGAACGCTTCGTGAACGGCATTTCCCGTGGGTTGTACACGTGCTTTGACTGGCTAAAGTAACACACACCACACACACACACCACACACATCACATACACACCACACAGACACCACACACACACACACCACACACACACCGCACACACACTATACATACACACCACACACACCACACCACAGACACCACACACATACACACCACACCAACCACACACACTGCACACACATACACCACACACACCACACACACACCACACACACACACCACACACTACACACACACGTTCAGGAGAATCGCCTGGATATCATTCAGGCCGTCGTGGGACAGAATCAGAGTCCACGTGGACTCACCAAAAGCATTTCATTGACACTGCCTGATCATCGCCGGGGGTCATTAGCCACACAGGTAAAAGCGCATCCCTCTCCCAAATCGTCTCGCTCACGCCACTTGCTGTCTGAAGTGACATCCACGAGAAGGGAGCTTCGAAGGGGAGTTCCCCCAATGAGGGTATTTGGCCTACTCTTCTTCTGATTGAACGTTGTCCGGACGTCTCGGAAGAGAGATGGGAGTACCCACGCTTTACCCGCCACCGCACGTGACCTGCCGCTCGACCGATCTGTGCGATGTACCCTTTTAGACTGCTGGGTTGGTCGCAGTGGCGGTGGACTGGGGAAGGAATCGAGACATTTGCCAATTATTTGAACTGCCGCGCACCTGGAGACTGAACCCGTGACCTCTCAAACGTGCGAACCATGGCACCGCGTAAGCATCGAGGCCCGAACATTTGAGAAACAAGTCTGGCCGAATTGCGTAAAATGTTGTCACTCCACTGCCTGAATTTCTAAATAGTTTATTTCGAGTGCAAGGGATGCATGTGCAGTGTTTGTGTTGGCGTAGTTCATCGTCATTAAACCGTTCGCGTCTCACGGTGTGAGGATTGTGTCGGAGGCAGAGGAACTTCTCAGGGACAAGGGAGACCCCCGGGGGGGTGGGGTGGGGTGGGTGATGTGACACAGCCGGATTGTACTGCGGGAAGGAATGTTGGGTGGCATTTGTGTCTAAAAAAAAAATACCAATTTCGTTTTTTTATATATATGAACAATAAAAAAATGTTTCTTTACAAATTTCACAGCCGTGTTGGTCCTTTGTGAACGAAAATAAAAAAAATTACTATCTCTAAATAAAATATTAAAAATAAAACATAATAAAATAATTCTCACGACGTTTCGGCCACAATGCAAGCAGCCGTCCTCAGGTGAAAAACAGGGCTATCGGAAAGACAGCGTCTGAAACAGACAGACCTGTTCTTCACCTGAGGACGGCTGCTTGCGTTGTGGCCGAAACGTCGTGAGATTTTATTATTTCCCTTCTACGTGACTTTACCGAAAGAACCAAGAAGATGAATCCCTGCAGTCACGAAAGCTTTAAATCGAAATTTATTTCTAAATAAAAGTAGTGCCGCTGCATTTTGGATTTCGCGGGCAGTGCTGCTCTACCCCACCGCGTGTCGCGGCCGTCACGAGGTTCGACGGTTTTCGCCGCTCCGCGTGCTGCCAGATCATTCTCTTTAACACGTGGCTGGCTTTCGCGACCAATATCATCCATGAGGTTTTTTTTGGGTTAGATCGCGTAAAAATGTGTCGTTAAATAAACCCACCACAACCAACTAGTAAGGGTTGTCACAAACATCATTTGCCAAATCCCCCCCCCCCCCCACTTTGCGCAAGAGCGCAGAAGCGTGGTCACCACATCTACGCGTCTATATAAGGAACAAAACAGGCGGACTTCTCCACAAATCTGGCTGTCACCTGATGAAGCTGGTTGTAATTACTGGCGAAACGTCGTACTCAGATTGTAAATGTTGTGGCTTGGCTCTCCAACACACCGGTTAGTGCTGTACTAGTACACTACACTATACACTACACAATACACTACTATGCACTAGTGCTGTACTAGTATACTACACTATACACTACACTACTATACACTACACTATACACCACACTATACACTACACTACACACTAGTGCTGTACTAGTGACGAATTGGCACGTCCTGTTAACGTGACAACCCTCACAAGTTGGCTGTGTTGGGTGGCGGCGGGTTTAACGACACATTTTTACACGATCTAACGACAGACAAATAATCCCTGGTGGGCAGTGTGGAACTGTTGCTCCTACCTTGTATAAACAACTTGGGAAATGAGACGATTGGGAAGCAGAACTCGAGAAATCGGGCAGCGCGAGGGGAGTAAGGAGAAGAAAGCGATTGACGGTGGCCTCGGCAGCCACTGGAGGCGCTGCATTCACATTCGTGAAAAAAAACTAAGTAAAAAAACTAAGTAAAAAAACTCAGTAAAAAACTAAGTAAAAAAACAACTAAGTAAAAATAAACTAAGTAAAAAAAAACTAAGTAAAATAAACAAGTAAAAAAGGAAATAAAAACACACCATCGGACATCGTCACAATGACAAAACACCCCGAGGAAGAAAAGAAAACCCGTACAAAAATTCATGTAAGAGAAAACAATTTTATTTGCTCCACATTCAACAAATGTGTACGCGCGCCAAAATAAAACAATCACCGCAAACGCCGGCTAACGGGGCGAAACCCAGCGTGAGAAATAACAATTGTGATCGTCTTACCTTCAGGCCCAATCATTTCGGTTGGGATCAAACAATGACTAGTCGCACACGCAAGCACAACTGCCTTCCATCTCGTCACATCGAAATGAAACATGTGCTTTAGCCCAGCAAACCATTATCGGTTTGCCCATCCCAACATTATCAAGCATGATTTGCTTGAACAAGCAAACACTCTGGAACTGGTGGTGTCAACTTTCTGGGACTCATCGGCCGAAGTCGGAGCTTGTTAAACAACCAGACGTGACCGACAGACGTCTGTGAATGGCGTGAGGGACGTGGTTCGACTTTTAAGGGCAATGTTTGGGAGTAAAAACGGTCACTGGAGCATAAACCATCATCACTCGAACTCCGGTCGTTATCCTCGCAGCAGCAGCAACTTTTGTGTGGCCACCGATCAAAGGCGGTGGCCACCGCATCGCGCGGCGCATTCGGACGCGCTTCTGTGGCCGTCCGGAACGCTCTCTTCCTTCCGATATTAGCAAAGCAGACTTTAGCCGTGCACTTTTAAAAATCTAGATTGAAAACTCATTTCTTTAGAACTTCCTTTTGGTGTTTTAGTTTGTCCCCAACGCCTCCCTCCCCGGACGTCCGATTAGCTACGTACGGTGCACGAAAGACGTTCAACGTTCGTACAACGCACGCGGCTCGCCGGTGGCCAGTAGAGACCGCCATCTCCCTCTAGCGACGAAAACACGGGAAACGCCTGCCGCTGTTCCTCCCAGGAACCTCCTCTTGAACGGGGGTGGACAGATTAACGAAGAGGTTTTCCCTTCGTGGGAGTGTTAACGACCGTTTGCCTATTTTCGAACGGTCCGCCACTGTTTCCCTGCACCTCCGCCAACAGGGAAACCGTGGCCAGCGTCGCATCACCGCAAAAGGGATCAATCAGCATCACGCAGCCATTTCAACTGCACTGTTCAACTTAAAAAAATTAAATTACCAGGCAAGGTCCCACTGAGCTATATATAGCTCTTTCACAGAAGCGACCTGGCAATCACAAATTATAGCTAAGCAAAGTGGCTCATCACGTGGAAATGTATAGCAGCAAAATACTCTAAACGCGTGATGTCGATTCGAAATGTGGAGGGAAAAACCGGATGACCCGGACAGAAATCCACGCGACCACGGGGAGAAATACACGCACACTTAAAGTATACAGGTGTCAGGGTCGGGATCGAACCCACGACTTCCTGTATATCAGGCGAAGTAGTTAACATCTCTCCACGGTGGCGCCCACGGGATCCTGTGCGTACAGCGGCGTCATTTAACAACAAAAAAAAGCTATTGCCCGCGTGGTTGCGACCTTCCGAGGGCCACAACAGACGAAACGTGCGAGGGAGTTGACAGATCCTGGGGCTGTGTGGTGGGGCGGACGGGGGCAGCACGGTCCACTCGCGCCGCGCGACAGCCTCCGACGCGGCCAGGATCGAGCGTGGCGTTGTTCTGCCGACAGGAGGCGAGGGTTCTGCCGCGCAAGACACATACATCTCATGGGTGGAAAAAAACCCGATTTTTCCATCGGCAGGCATCGCGTTTTTTTTTTAGAACCAATTAAACCGGATTTATCCCAATCTCAGATCGGGTTTAATATAAAAAGCCAATTAAACCTGATTGTAAAAAACCCGACTCTGCCACCCTTGGTACATCTCGACCCTCGCCGCACTCCCGATATCGCGTCGGCTCAATGAGACGTCACCGAGTTTAGTGTGCAGCCCCTTTTGTCGATCCACTGCCGGATAAGGGGGGCAAAAATCCACCGTGCCGGGCGGCGGACGCAGCGGTTATTTGAGCATGCTCAACCACGCTTGCTTGCTGTCATCGTTGTGGGTTGGTCAAAGTAGGGGAGCGATATGGGCGATATAAAAACAATGGATTTTGCTTTACTGCCCTCTGCTGAACACAACGAAGCCCCGGCAGCAGCATACAGCACCTTGTTGTACACCGCGACCACCCACCCAGGCTCTCGGGATCTGACAAGATGGGGTGCATTCTGGGTGATTTGACCCTGGGCTGAGACCATCGAGGACAGATTGTTGAGCTCTTATACAGAGCGGTGGGCAGCCGAGTGGCCCAAGGGTGGCCGTGTTAGAGCGTTGACCTGGCACTGCCGAGAACCGAGGGTCAAGCCAGGGCGGCCACCCCGTGGCTGAACCAGATTACCCAAGCGGTGGCGGGCTTGACGTCGACACAAATAATAGGCATTGTGGGAAAGAGGGAAAACACCCCATCAACCTCGCCCAGCCGAGGGCCTACATCGGAACTAAACCCACCAGATGACTGGCAAGCGGCCAAGGGCTCCTCGCTGGGCTCGGTAGAGACACCTGCTATGGGGAGAGAGGGGGTCCATTTATTCGTATGTTGAACTTCTTTTGCACTGTACGTAGCCAACGGTGCTAATCGGAGGTGCGTCCATCAAACCGACTTAGATCGATAATGCCCATTTGTTGGGGGGGGGGGGGTAGGGGGAAAATACCATCCCCCCCCCCCCGACACGGTCAGCGTCGGTGATGAACTCATCAGCTGTGCTCCTCCAGCAGACGATGCCGCTACAAAGGAGGCACGGGGGGGGGGGGAAGGGGGGGGGCTGTCGAGGTCTCTCCTGTCGGACGTAACGACGCGAGGTTCCGCGCTGCGACAAATCTGTGAGGATCGTCTTCGGCTGCCGTCACTGCCTCCCGACAAAACAAAGGGCTCACACGAACGGCTACAATGCCCTGGCCATGGCTTCCTGCGACTTGGAACAACGCAAAGGTAGAAAGGGAGGCCAACACGGGGATGTGAAATGCTTACATTTTAAAGTTTCCCACTCACACCACCCCCCCCCCGATTATATTCCAAATTGTACAACTTGTATTATTGTTCTACTGGTATTATTGCGCCATCGGTATTATTGGGTTCTTGGTATTAGTGCGCTATTGTAATGATGCGCTGTGGTATTATTGGGCCATCGGTATTACTGGGCTTTCATATTACTGAACTATCGCTATTACTGTGTGATTGGTTTTATGTTACAAGGCAAAAACATTTCCCATTGGCAACTCGAGCAGCCAAGCTGCTGCTGTTGCACGCAACAGACGGCGTCACGAAGCAGCCTCTCTCGAGTTCCTTTTAAATAAAACCTTTCCGTCCACGCGACCCCTTTCCATCGGACAGCTTCAACCGAGTCTCGAGTATTCCCCCGCTCACAGGAGGGGCTCCTTGCTCGGGGCGTTCACACCCGGGCAGGCCGACGCCACTTTCACGGCGGCTAGCAGCCGGGCTGCCGTCGCTCCACCTCCGTCGCTCCACCAAACCCGCCCCCCCCCGCCACCCCCCAGTGTCCGCGAGCCGACGTCCTCGGCCGACGACGACCGCTGTGTCTAGCTCGCGGCGCCGGGCGCCTGCGGCTTCTGCTTCTTTTTCTGCTTCTGCTTCTGCTTCCCCTTCGCCGCCTTCCTCCTGCCGACCCTCCCGTCGCGCAGCGCCGCGATGGCCGACGCCGGGACCCGTCCGTCCGCGGAGGCCGCGGGTGGCGTCGCCAGCGCCCCGAACTGCGTGGGGTAGCGCGTCTTGCTGGTGGCGCGGAACACGGGCTGCGCCAGCAGGTGCGCCAGCTGCTTCCTCAACGACTGCAGGCGCCACTGGCGCTGACGTTCGCTGTCCTCCGAGCGGGCGCCGCCTGTAGGAGAGGAGAAACGCGGCCGTGCTCAAGTCCAGCCCCGAGTCTCGGGCAGAGGTCGCTAACGGGTTTTTATTCTTTACCCATACCCGTACCCGGCCGCACCAGTGTCGCAAATTGGTACTCGTTCCCTACCCGTACCCGTACCCTACCCGAAATGAGTGACAAACGGTTACTCACCAGTGACTCACGGTCTACCCGTACCCGTACCCGGCCGCACCAGGGTCGCAAACGGCTACCCGTACCCGGCCGGGTATCGGGTAGGGTACGGGTATCGGGTACCCGGTTGCGACCTCTGGTCTCGGGGGCTGAAGCCTGAAGTCGTCTGGGACGATGATTTTGTTTCGACGACAGAATTTCGGCCGAGTGGAAGCAAGCCGGGGAGCCAAACGTGCCGCCACCAATATTGCCGCCGGAGGTGGAAGGAACATTCGATTTCATATTTTCGTCCATAATAGAGGTGTTTTTGGGTTAGATCGCGTGAATATAAATGTTGTTAAACCCGCCACCACCCGTCACGTGAACAAAACGTGCCAATTCGTTACGAGTACAGCACTAAACCGGTGTGTTGGAGAGGAAATCCACAACGTTTACGAACTGTTAATGTTGTGGATTTGTGAATATAAATGTGGTTAACGACACATTTATATTCACGCGATCTAACCCCAAAAAAACTATATTATGGATGATATTGGTTGCGAAAGCTTACGTGTTATTACTTTTAATCTGACGACGTTACATTTTTATCAGCAACGCGGTCTTTTTACTCGGAGGTATTTCTGCGAAAGAGCTGCTCAACGCGCGCGACAAAGCGAGTGGCTGCGATGATAACAACGGCGACGACGATAGAAGTTTGTCCATCATCTCGAATCCTAGGGGTCAAATCCGACTCGAGTTGGCTCGACGCGTGACCTCTAGTCGGCTGCCCATGGAGGCAACGCGTGCGCGGTGGTCACTCGAGCGAGCGGAGGATATCTCCACGGGGGCAGAGGAGCCACGTGATCGGGTTCTGTAACGGGGCGAGGGCTCACCCATGAGCATGTCGTCCTCCAGCTCGATGTCCATGGCGTCCGCCGCCTTCTGGAACCACGAGTTGTGATGCTGCGCGCGGCTGTGGTGGTACAGCTCCTTCTCGATGCTACGTGCCAGCGCCACGCGGGCCTGCAGCGCGCACGCACGCGGAAAGGTCACGGGGTCACGGTCAGCAACGCGCGGAGCCATCGGCGGTGCGACCAACATCAGTCAGCGGCACCGCAAACAGCCAAACCATCAACCCGTGACACAATCATCACCAAAGACAAAGATCCCCCGTGTAGCCTTGTTAACAGGCCGTTGGGGCAAGTGCCGTTTGTGAGCGCCCATGAAGGCCGGCACGGCAAACGAGGGGGTGGGTGGCCAGCACCACGCCCGGCAGCCTTCGTCTCGATGTTTACACACCGCACAGGGTACTCATTTGAGGCCGAGTCTACCGAGGGGAGGCCGAAAATCAGTTCAGATAATCAGCCCTGGTGTTGGCCCTGAGCGGCAATCGAACTCGAGTTGCCGAATTCATAGCACAACATTGCAGCATTACACTACCGCTTCCCCCATAACCATCACGAACATGATCAGTCCTGTCGCCACCACCACTACCATCACGTGCATAACTACCGCCAAGACTGCCATCAACGCCACAATCACTGCCATCAGAAACAAACAGCCTCCACCATAAACGTCACTACCAACACCACGACCGTCACCATATCTCCCCCACCACCCTCGCCATGCTCACCACTACCCGCCCTCTCCCCAATCCCGATCACTCTCACCCCCATCAGCAACACTATGTCTGTATGTTACACTTTTTTTCGCACTGTACGTAGCTAATCAGAGGCGCGGCGGAAGGATAAACTAAACACAGAAAGCAGTTCTAAAGAACTGAGTTTTCAATCTAGATGATTTAAAAGTGTAAAGAGAGCGTTCCAGATGGTCACCGCCCCCCCCCCCCGGGCCACACCTCTGTTGTACGACGCTCACCTTGACGGCGGTGAGGTTGTGGGGGTCCACGGGGAAGCAGGGCAGCTCCTTGTCCCCGCGGAGCGTACGGCAGATCTTGCGGTAGGCCGGCACGTCACCGGGGCCCACGAGGATGAGGCTGAGGCCCTCGCGCGTGGCGCGCGCCGTGCGCCCGCTCCGGTGCACGTACGTCTCGGACGTGCGCGGCAACTGACGATGGAGCCACGACGACGACCATCGCGGTGGTGACGGCCACGAAGGTGATGATGGTAACGATCATGGAAATAATGATGAAGGTGATAAAGAAAACGACGGTGAAAATATGGGGAAAACCACGATGACAATAATGATAACAATAACAACAATGGCGACAGTGACGACAAGATGGCGATGATGAGAACGATGAAGACAAAGATGACAATTGGGATGCGAAAAGACAAGGGAGGGGTGGGAGGAGGTGGCACAGACCATGCACTCAACATTAGCACGAGGTGTTTGAAGGCAGCCAAAATATACATTTCGGATTCTTCGGGTTCAACATGAAGGATGACTCAAACTCAAGAGGCAGAGCGAAGAGCGGCAAGACCGCCTACGACCATTCAGGGTGACAGGAGGACGGTGAGAAGCACGCTGGCTGCATTTGTACCACGGTGGCTAGGAGATGTTAACTACCTCGCCTGGTATACAGGAGGTCGTGGGTTTGATCCCGACCCGGAAGCCTGTATATCTGGAGTTTAAACGCTCTCCCCGTGGTTGCGTGAATTTTTCTCCAGGTCCTCCGGTTTTTCCCTCCATATTTAGAAACGTGCGTTTAGAATATTATTTGGTTCTATAATAATAATAAAGTGAATAAAAAATAATAATAAAAACACTAATGTGGACTGTAGCCTGGTTCTAAATCGGAGTGTACTGGCAGTCTATAATGTAGACTGTAGCCTGGTTATTAAGTTTGGCGAGTGTATTGGCAGTCTATAATTTAAACTGTAGCAATGGTTATTAAGCTGGGCGAGTAAAGTATTCGACTCTTGTGTGTTTAAAAGTATTCGGCTACGATAAATGTTCACATGATGAGCCACTTTCGTTGAGCTATCATTTGTGACCAGGTCGCTTCTGAAAAAGAGCTACATAGCTCAGTGGGCCTTGCCTGGTAAAATAGAAAAAAATGCTTTATAGTTTGATTTGCAAACAGAAATGCGTTTTCATCACGCAATCGTGAGCGGTGGTCTATTCGCTGCTGCGTGAAATCCGCCCCAAGTGGACGGACGGACGGGCAGCGCCGCGCACCTGGTAGTGGATGACGTTTTCCACGTTCGGGATGTCCAACCCACGGGCCGCGACGTCTGTGGTCAGCAGCACGCAGCTGCAAACGAGAACGCACTTAGTACGTGGGGGAAAAAATACCACAAAGATCCCCCCCCGTACAGCCTTAACAGGCTGTTGGGGCAAGTGCTGTTCACGAGCACCCATTACGGACACGCGCACACACACATGCATCATTTGGACGACGCCAACACATCACCACCTTCGTCATCGTCGTCATCATAGGCCGTGATCTATCCGCTGTTGGATTTGCCACCCGAGGGCACGCGAATCGAACTTAAAACCTCGTCAAGCGAACAGAGAGTTTCACGTGGGCATTGCCGGACGCAGAGGCATCGAGAGAAAAATCGCAGAATTTCCGATGAGGAAATCCCGCAGGAGGCTTCCACGGCGCTGCACTCTACGCCACACACGACACAAGGTGGTGCACGGCTCATGGCTTGGGATTCGCGACGAAGTCTTCGTTTCAACCACCACCAACACTGTCACATCGCCACCACCATTTTCTGCACTTCCGAAAAGCACGTTTTGGCTACGTATGGTGCGAAATAAGTTCAACATAGTACATCACCGCTGCCGCCACCACCACCACCACTTTTACAAAGAGCAACAACAACCGCCATTCGCCACTAAGTGGCGGTGACGACACCACGACGCCTGTGCCAGGCTACGTGCACATTAAGGCCATGTGAAGCATCGAACGCCCGCCGGCAGGAGGTCACGGGGCAGACCCAGCAGATGCCACGGCTCGACTGACCGAGATGACCAAGCCCGACGCACCACCCGCGCCCGCTACAGCGCCAACTTACTGCGCATCTAACCGCCCGGCGCTCCACCATCGCCACCGACCAACCGCACGACCACCGCCACTACCTACCCCACACCACCGGTGTTGCCCCGCCCCGTCCCCCCCGCCCTCCCGCGTCTCACCTCTGTCGCTCGGCGAACCTCTCGAGGTTCTTGAGCCGCTGCTTCTGGTGCATGTTGGCGTGCAGCGGCAGCGCCTCGCAGGCGAGGGCGCCCAGCAGCCCGGCGAGGCGCTTCACACACTCGATGCTGTTGGCGAACACCATTGTGCGGCCCGGGTGGCGCAGCAGGAAGTAGTAGAGGTAGTGGTCCTTGTCGTCGGCGTCGCAGTGCACGCGCGACTCCATCAGCGTCTCCGCCGTCGCCTCGCGCCGCGTCAGGTCCACCACCTTCGGCTTGCCTGGGGTCAGGGGGTAAGGGTTGTGTGTTAGATGGTAGAGGTAAGGGTTGTGTGTTAGGGGTAAGGGTTAGGTGTAAGGGTTATGTGTTAGCAGTAAGGTGCTAGGGGTAATGGTTAGTGCTAGGGGTAATGGTTAGGTGCTAGGGGTAATGGTTAGGTGCTAGGGGTAATGGTTAGGTGCTAGGGGTAATGGTTAGGTGCTAGGGGTAATGGTTAGGTGCTAGGGGTAATGGTTAGGTGCTAGGGGTAATGGTTAGGTGCTAGGGGTAATGGTTAGGTGCTAGGGGTAATGGTTAGGTGCTAGGGGTAATGGTTAGGTGCTAGGGGTAATGGTTAGGTGCTAGGGGTAATGGTTAGGTGCTAGGGGTAATGGTTAGGTGCTAGGGGTAATGGTTAGGTGCTAGGGGTAATGGTTAGGTGCTAGGGGTAATGGTTAGGTGCTAGGGGTAATGGTTAGGTGCTAGGGGAAATGGTTAGGTGCTAGGGGTAATGGTTAGGTGCTAGGGGTAATGGTTAGGTGCTAGCGGAAATGGTTAGATGCTAGGGGAAATGGTTAGGTGCTAGGGGTAATGGTTAGATGCTAGGGGTAATGGTTAGGTGCTAGGGGTAATGGTTAAGTGCTAGGGGTAATGGTTAGGTGCTAGGGGTAATGGTGACGTGCTAGGGGTAATGGTTACGTGCTAGGGGTAATGGTTACGTGCTAGGGGTAATGGTTAGGTGCTAGGGGTAATGGTTAGTTGCTAGGGGTAATGGTTAGGTGCCAAGTGTAAAGTGTTCGGGCCGAGGTGTCACCTCGAATGCCGATGCGCTGAATCAGCATCTCGAGCTTCCCGCCGGCGTCGTGCTGCGACGGCGCCGCCTGCTTCTTGCCCTTCTTGAAGGGCAGCGGCCGCTTCCCGGCGGCGCCGGCGAGCGTCAGCGTCGCCGAGAACACGAAGGTCTGGCGGCGCGCGTTGAACTCCGTGCCGGCGAGCAGCTCCAGCAGTTGTGAGAGCTCGGCAAAGTGACCGCGCTCCACCATGCGGTCCGCCTCGTCCACCACCAGGCACCTGGCAGTGCGTGGGGGAGCCGGCGGCGTAGCGGTTAGCGCACTGCGCTGACGGAACCCGGCGATCACGAGTTCGTTTCCCGCTCGCGCTGCGCTGACGGAACCCGGCGATCACGAGTTCGATTCTCGCTCGCGCTGCGCTGACGGAACCCGGCGATCCCGGATTCGATTCCCGCTCGCGGACGACAACCAGAGTTCGATTCTCTGAACCGGTCCCGCGGCTCTCCCTTCCCCCTAAGTCGACTCAAATGAGTACCTGGTGCGGTGTGTAAACGTCGCCACTGGGGAGACAAAGGTGGTTGCGGCGAGGTGCTGGCCGCCCACCCCCTCGTGTGCCGTGCCGGTCTTCTACTGGCTAACAGCACTTGCCCCAACATTCTGTGAAGGCTATACGGGGGATCTTTGTCCATGTGCGCGTGTGTGTAAATGGTGAGCGGTAGTGTAGCGGTTGGCGCGCAGTGCTACGAACCCTGCGACTCGAGTTCTTTGGGGTGTAGTAGGTGAGCGTGGGGGAGGGTAGAGTTATTGGGGTGGCGGGATGAGGGGGTAATCCGAGTGACGTGGGTGGCGTTGGTAAGGCTGGTGCGGTTACTGTGGGCGGTGAAGGTCACACGGCCGACACGGGTGGTGCAGGTGGTACTGGCAGTGCGGTTCAGGTAACCGCGATGCTACACGTGTCACAGGTGGCTCGGTTGACAGAGTCGACACAGTCATCCCACCCCGTTGGTGCTCACCTGAGCGAGCGCATGTGGGTGAGGTGCGGGTGCCCCTCGCGGATGAGCTCCCAGAGGCGCCCGGGCGTGGCCACCACCACCTCCGGGTGACGGCTCAGCACTCGCTGCTGCTTCTGCTGGGCCATGCCGCCCACCACCACGGCCGTGCAGATCCCTGGGGGGCACGGCGCCACACGCGGTGGGGGGTACGACGGGGGGCATAATGTTGATTAGATGCGGTTCGCGCGCCGTTCAACACGTAGTGCCATAATCAGTACGGCCGTTATATATTGCAGCTTTAATTGCAATTCGATGTCAACAATTTTTACACTCTCAGATGGACAAAAAAATACGCAAAAAACAAATGACATCTCGCCGCGTTTCAATGCGCCACTGTGTAAGGGCGCCACCGCCGGCCTCGGCCGCGCGATACGTCTGCCATCCAGTGGCAAGAGCTGGAGAAGAAGAAATATCTGACGCGAATACCTGGGTTATGGCCCTGTTCATCCTGAGATTTTTTTTATCGGCATTTTATTTTACTTTTATGCGCCGGCTTCCACGTCCAATGTTGAGATTCAGAATTCGTTTATTTTGAATTGGATCACCGTGTAGCTTCCAATGCCGATTTTCAACGATAACCTCTTGGCACCCCACAGACCCTAAAAAAATATATTTTTCCTTCCTTTTCAACGTTCCGGTTTATTACCAAAAACCCAAATCAATCGGCACATCTGCCCACACGCGACAAACTTTGATTGGCCCTGTCGGGTGGTGGAGGGTATGGCTAAACATTGGCACTATCCCTCCCGGACCATCTAACCCAAAAAGTTATTCATGATCATTTTTATGTTTTTATCGTGGTAACACGAGACCTGTACAACACGCAGGGACAGAAAAACAGTGGTTAGATGGGGGGTGGTAGAATCGATGCTCCATCCTGTGTGGACCTTACATCGGGGTGGGGGGTGATTTGTGTTAACACTTACATGGGACTATAATTTTTTATGGAATAAAAACGAGTAATACACTGTAACATGATAACAAATGCATGTCAATAACGTCAAAAGAGTCTCCACTTGTTCACCATCATTGTCAGCACGTGCCTGGAATCTTCTCCAGGTGGTCTCCAGAGCCCAGAGGCACATTTCCCGTGGCATTGTTGCAAATTCTCACAAGTGTTAACATGTTTTTTTTGAAGCACCCTGTATATATGTTTTATCTTTTTTACCTCCAACGGGATCATGCGAGCGTACCTGTGTGCCGTGCCGCGGCGTCCAGGTGCTGCTTCACCTGCACCGCCAGCTCCCTCGTGGGCGTCACCACAAGGCCGAGCAGCGGCTTCCGTGGCTGCCAGGCCTCGCGCTTCGAGGTGACGGCCCCCGGCGCGCCGGAGTCCGAGGTCGGGTCGAAGTCGAGGGGGACGTCGTCGACGACGCGCACGCAGCCTCGGCCCTGCGAGTCGAGCACGCCCGTCTCCGGGCCAACGGCAGCGCCGTCGTCGTCGGCAACGTCGTCATCGTCGTCAACGTCGTCATCGTCGTCGTCGGCAACGTCGTTGTTGTCGTCGGCAACGTTGTCGTCTTCTGCGACTTGGTCTCCTTGGGGATGAAGAAGTTGGTTAGAATTTTCCCGAGAAAGTAAATCTGGGGCGCTTTGGAAGCATGGTCAAGTGAAGTCAATAGACTTATTCCAGTTGAATTGTAATAAAAATAAAACATTCGGTTACCGAGTACAGAACCAAAGGCTCAAAGCGGCCAGCAACAAAGAGCACTCCTGAAGGTGTCAACGATGAGATTGAACAATTTTCTCGAATTTGCACGAGATGCTTCGTTACAATACGAACTCAATATGAACGCAGGCGTTGAGATTTATGACATCACAGGCGACCTCCAGAGACCCGTCTCTCCCTCTCTCTGCGGGTTACCTTCGTGCGAGTCGCCCGTCTCTCCCTCGGCGCCGTCGTCTGCCTGCTCCGCCTCGCGGCTCTCCCTCCACTCAAGGATTCGCTGGATCATGGGAATTCCGAAGGCGAGGGTTTTGCCGCTGCCTGGGGAGAGAGGAGGATGAGGCTGCAGCGCGAGCGATGGAAACCCCCCCTCCCCCCCCACACTCTCACACAACGAGCAACGACGCACACGAAAACAAAGATCCCCGACCCCTATAACCTTCAACAACAGGTTGTCGTTTGTAGAACTTCTTTCGCACCGTACGCAGTCATCCGCGCGAATCGGAGATACGCAGGAAGGGCGACAAAATAAGCACAAAAAAGCAGTTTTACAGAAATGGGTTTACCGATCTAGATTGAACACGCGCACGAGCGCGTGCGTGTTCAACGTGCGCACACACAAACACGCGCGATTGCGCACCAGTCTCAGCGGCCCCCAGCACGTCGCGCCGGTCCCGGATGGCTGCGGGCAGCACGAGCGCCTGGATGGCGGTGGGCGCCGTGTATCCCATCTCGGCGAGCGCGCACAGCACGGGCTCCGGCACGTAGAGGCCCTCCCACGCGGACACGTCGGCGGCGACGCCCCCCTCCAGCGCCTCGCCGTCCAGCGCGACGGTCGTCCACGGGCGCTTCTTGGCGCCGCTCGTCGCCTTCTTGGGGCCGCCTGCGACGAAGGAGAAAGAGGAGAAAGGGGAGGGGGCGGAGACGGCCCGGTACAAAATTTTACTCCGCGCATAATTTTGTTCAATTCCAGCTCGGAGAATTTAAGTTGCCGGCGTGACCGTCATGTGAAGGTGGTGGGAAGGTCCTGCCCACGACCGTGTGGACCAGAGGCCACTTAGAAGAGATCTTCAGAGGAAGCTCTGTCCGTATCCACTGCTGTTGGATGCTCTTTATCATGACAGGAGATCCGATTGCATGTTTAGTTTCACGAGGTGACACGGAAAAGTAGAATCGGGATAAAATAGAAGGAAATTCCAGTTAACTTTTTTACAAAACCAATGAAGGCGACACCAGAGTTCTGCCAAGACAAACGAAACGGCCACTACCTTCGCTCGCCGGCGCTTGCTTTTCCGCACCCTCCACGATCTTCTTCTTCTTGTTCTTCTTTTTCTTCTCGTTCTTCTTCAGCTTCTTGCTGCTTCCGCCCTCATCCTTCTCTTCGCCACCCAGGGGCTCCATCTCCTCGATGGCCTCATCACCGTTGTTGCCCTCATCGTCGTCACCCGCGTCGTACCCAACGTCCACGCCGGACTCGGCCGCCTCCTTCTCCAAAGCGGCTTCCAACTCCATCCACTTCTTTTTCTTCTTACTCGTTTTCTTCGTCTTTTTGTTCCCCTCCTCCTTCTTATTCTTCTTCCTGGCCTCTTTACGAATCGCGGCGGCGTCAGCGTCGCCGCCGGCGGTGCCGTCGTCACCCGCCGATTCGGCCGGCTCAGAGTCCGTGTCCGTTCTCGGTTTCTTAGCCGGGCTCGGTCGGGCCGCAACACCTGCCGCCGCCGCCTCCGCCGCCGCCTTGCGCTTGTTCCTCTGGTCCTCCTTCTCGATCGCCTCGGGCCGCACCATCGTGTAGTCGTGCAGCTCCTCCATGCACACGAAGCCGTCCAGGTCGCCGCTCGCAAGGAACTCGGGGTCAAGGGTCACCTGCTGCCACTGCCCGACGACGCGCACACCGCGGCTCTGTCCGCGGAAGAGGCCGCCGCCTCCTCCTCCTCGCCCACCGCGGCCGCCGCGACCGCCTCTTCCGCCGCGGCCGCCTCTTCCGCCGCGGCCGCCACCCCCACCGCCGCCCCTCATCGCGCCTGGGGAACGAGCAGAGTGAGCGGCATTCGTCAATTTATATATTTTTTTGTAATCGCGGTCGCCAAGCGCAGGCCCAGAGGCCGATAACGACACACAGCTAACGACAAACAGCACCGCCGGAGGTGTAAATAGTCGAGAGTTAATACGTTCCTCGAATTGAGCGAGGTTGGAGGAATTTTGGTAAATAGAACCACGGGTAGGAAGTTGAAAGTGGAGAAGAGCAAGGGCAGAGGCGGTAGAGAAGTGTCGTCACCTGCAGTGTGGCAAGTAGGTTAGTGTGCATGGGTGAGGGTGAACGTATGAGTAGGTTGATGAGAGGTTGAGTGAATGAGTGGGTAGCTGTGTGCTTGAGCGTGTTGTTGTGAGCTGCAGTATTTCTGGTGGGTGGAACGCAGCGTGGATGAGGAAACAGTCAGCCTCAACGTGGGTGGAGGAATCAGTTCGTGGAAAGTGATCGTGGAAGTAGCGACACTGCTTTAAAAAAAATCACACGTGGTAATCCTAGTTGTGTTTCTCGAACTTTCAGTTCTGACAATCTCAGATAAACATCTTTACCAATCATCAGGTGCGTGCAGTATGCTGCGTGTTAAATGTAAAGTTGCACTGTGGGGATGTCGCTCTTACTGCATTGAGAAATTTTAATGTAGCGCCGTCACTTCTACAGGACCGTAACATCAACAACTCAAGAGAGACGGCCTTATTAGAGGAATTGGAAAATGTTGTGGGTCATTTTTAACTCTACGACTTACATCTCAGTTTGTTTTATGTTCCGATTTGAAACCTCATTTTAGGTGTTCAAGCTCAGAATTCAATATACTGTGTTATGAATTCATGCATGCATCTGTGAGGAGCTTTGAGTAGGTAACCCCTGGCATTGGTCTAGGGGTTTTCTCCCCACACCGAAGGCAAACACAGATTAATGGAATTGGTCAAACATCCCAATGCAGCAGAGCCATGGACAAACTGTAAAACTTTATAAATGCATTTTCTGTAGTTTACAAGTAATAAAAGTAAAATAAATAAAAATATTTACTATTAATTTTTATTTTACTTTTATTAATTTGAAATTTTTACCTACGTGACTTTACCGAAAAAACCTAAGAATATAACTAAGTCTTCCTAGATGAATAAATTACATTATAAGCGCCACCTAGAGCTCTAGTTCGAACACAATGCTTCACAATGAACAATTAGCTAACCACGGGCTTATAGGTTACAACCACTAATCGCACACACGACTCTTATCGATTAAACCCGCTTGGCTACATCACGACGTGTTCGTTCTACGTATATCCTGGTCTCGGCCATGGCAATGTGGAGCTTCCATCGTGAATGGGGATAAACGCCCCCACCATTACTCGCTTGATCATGGAGACAATTTCACTTGAGCTGTAGCTTATAGGTTCACCCACCTTCCCAGGTCCTATTATATTGTAAAAGTACCGTATAGGTTCACAATTCACCTACTGACTCCGACTCCCGTTAGATTCACCGCTAAGATGTACGGGAATAAGTTCACACATCCCAACTTCCAAGGAGATTAACCGCTGATCTTTAGAGTTATAGGTTCACATGCTGCCCTGGGTTCTGGGTAGACTCACTTCCCTCGTGTGATGTGTACCAATACCGGTTCGCGCAGTGCCCCGGGTCCGAAAAGAACTTGACCACCGATACATATTACATTCACCACTCTGGTCACACACACGCGCGCGGCTTCTCGTTATGTCCACCTCTCGGCTGTACAAAATGCAAGTTCATCCACACTGTCCCCGGTTCTCATTCGGCTCAGCTCTCCTCTGAGCTGCACGTGTATAGGTTGTACACGCGATCTCCGGCGCGTGAGTTGTGTTTTCCAGCATCGTACCTTCGCGGTGAACCTTACCTTGGTAGGAGGTCGGGAAGCCGGGTATATAATAATAATAAAAAGGGACTCAAACGCAACGTTTAAATGAGAAACGCGTCTGCCGAGCAAAGGCTACACGAGACGCACACGTGTTGTCCTGCGCGCAGCCATGACAGTGGGGGGGCTTAGCCAAAGACGACGCGCCTCATTGGTCGAGACGTGCGCCCGCGTGGTCCGACCCGGCCGAGGATCTTAGCTCGCTTCCGATTGGTCGGCATAGCTGACGTCACTCGAGTGAGGTAGGCGTGGTTTGGATATTGTGAGGTTCGGCTGAGTCACTGGGGGCACGCCCCATGCATTTGGTATGTGACCAGAATAGTGAAGTATGGTGAAACAAACCCTCGCGAATCCGCTACAACCCCACTTCGTATACTTATGTCTTACTGATGACAATACTATATTCTATCATTAAAAATAAAAAATATATTTTAACAATCTTTTTACACGCTTTCTATTAACTCACTCTGTCTGTTGTTGTTGTTGTCGTATGCTCAAATCTTGTAACTCAATTTTAACCCACTTCACAATGTGGTATCGACTGCAAACTTGGTATACCTATGGCGTACTGATGACAATACTATATTCTATCATTAAAAAGAAAAAATATATTTGTAAATATTATTTTTTATATGTTATGATTCGGCTTGGGTCTAATTGTCCACGCTCAACTGACGTTGGCTGTAAATGACCACGGAGCCCCTTACGTTATGGCAAGCCTCGGGGCCACTTCCTGGAGTCGTGGAGTTCTGCCATTACTCGTACGGTACATTTCATTAAAGCGTGTTTTTTAAAAAGTATTTTTAAATATTACTTATGTTTACTTCGGGTGCCCCCCCCCCCTACCCTTGCACTAGGGCATACCGCTCTACACGCGATAAAACATTTTTTTGTTTTAATTGGTAGATAAATATACGTGTAGTTAAAAAAAATGATTTAATTGATACATAAATATGTCATTTTAATAATTGGTTGAAATAGCTTAAAAGACAAGAGTTAAAAATGCAATCTAATGTTTTTAGACATATAAAAACATTCAACAATAAAGGGGGTGAGAGGGGAACGAGGAGGGAGAGGAAGTTGGGGGGGGAGGGGATGAGTGGAGAGGGAATTGGGGGGGGGGTCATGAGTGTGGTGGGGGGGGGTGAGTTTGGGGAGCGGTGGTGGAGCGGTTAGGGCGCTGCGCTACGAACCCCGGCGACCCGAGTTCGATTCTCGCCCACGGCCACCAACACCGGTGACGATTATCTGAACCGGTGCTGCCCCTCTTCTAAGTCGACTCAGCCTCAAATGAGTACCTGGTGCGGTGTGTAAACATCGCCACTGGGGAGACAAAGGCGGTCATGCGTGGTGCTGGCACAACCCAGCCCACCTCGTGTTCCACAGTTCCGGCCTTCATAGGTGCTACTACTGGCTAACAGCACTTGCCTCTAACAGTCTATTACCGTATTCTTTGGTTCTTTCGGTAAAGTCACGTATACAGAAAAAATAAGAATTTATTTTTTATTTTTTCTATGTGACGTTATTATTAGAATTTTATTTATTATAATAATTATTTATTATTATAATTAATAAAAAAATTATATCTACGTGACTTTACCGAAAGAACCAAAGAATATGAATTCCTGCGGTCACGAAATTTTTAAGTCGAAGTCTGTTACCGGCTATACGGCTGTTGGAGGGCAGGATGGGGTTAATCTTTGTCTTTGTGTATTTGATCCGTGGTGTCGTATCGCATGAAACAGCGCCGAGGGCCGTGTTACATAAGCGGCTGTAGCACGGCGTGAGGGACCTTGGGAGGAGAAGAGACGCATTGCAGTAGAGCTCAAGGTTGGGACTGCGTGCAACTTCCCTTTCGGCTGGGCTGCCAACCTGCAGCGAGGCATTGTTCTTTACGAGCTCTGCTATGAATGTTGTAAACATAAAACCGCGACTCGTGCTGCCACTGAATTCCTGAGGATTGTTGTTATTGAACAATGGAGATGTGTTGTTGTCCATGAAGAAGACGAAGGAAAACAAAACAAATGTTGTATTCGTCCGGATTATAAGACGCTACGGAAAGTAAGACGCACCCGAAAGCTTGTTCCCGGCGTCAATATGATTATACAGTTCTAGATTTGAAGCTTTCGTGACTGCAAGGATTCATACTCTTTGGTTTTTTCGGTAAAGTCACATAGGTAAAAAATAAATAATAAAAATAATAGAACAAATAATAGAAATAAAATAATAGATCACGACGTTTCGGAGGCAACACAAGCTTCCGTCTTCAGGTGGAACCGTCACAACACAATTGCTGTATCAAGTAGAGAGAAGTCCCAAGAGACCCGACCTTATATATACTGGTTAAGGGGACGGTTCCACCTGAAGACGGAAGCTTGTGTTGCCTCCGAAACGTCGTGATATATTATGTTATTTCTATTATTTTTTCTAGTATTTTTATTTATTTATTTATTTTTTAAACCTAAGAGTATGATTATACAGATCGGGTAACACGTGCACGTCGACCGGATTATAAGACGCAACCCTAACTGTTTCTGTTAAGCACGAGGGTAAAGGTGCGTCTTATAGTCCGATAGAAGCATAAATCCCTTCTGTCTCCACATAAATGGAATTTAAAAAATCCAGATCGGGTAACGCGTACACACATACCGGATTATAAGACGCAGCCCCGACTTTTTATGTTAAGCACGAGGTTAAAAAAAAGTGCATCTTATAGTCCGATAGAAGCAAAATTATCTTCTGTCTCCACATCGGAATGGAATGTTAAAATAATGTCGTCCATCGGATTATTGGCTTCCCAGACCAATATTATCCACTCGGGTTCGCTAAAGCAAGCAAACTCTGGGCAGGTTTCAGACCTTCTGGGTCACATCAGCAGAGCGCGGGCGTGTGATACAAATTCTGCATGGTTGCCATATGAGTTTCCCATTCATATCTTGAGATTGTTGGGTACTGTCAAATCACTCTGTGGGTGGGGGGGGGGGGTTATTGTTTTGTTTATACCATAATAATAACACTGGTCAACAACAACAAAAACATTTTTTTCTTGCCTGGACTTTTGCAGCTGTTTAGACTAATTTCAAGGTGCTGATTCCAAATCTGATCTCAGATTTGCTCTATCACATCTCATTTTTATGCTATCGGCATACCCCATTTTCATTGATTTTACCCGAAATTAACTCTGTCACTTATGATTGCAAGTTGTTGCAAGTCAGTGACTGCTTTAGTGTTAAAATATGGTGCTGTATTTTTAGGATAGTGTGTTTATAATATCATTTTATGTAGATATCCACATTTATTGAAACATTTTCATCTGCAGTTTTGATTAAAAATGCAATATTTGATATCTCAAAAACCTGATGTGATAGACAAAACTGATGCCAGATTTGGAATCAGAATCCCAAAATTACCTTAAACCCGTTGGAATACCTTATGCCACAAAAAGTGTGTTGACCAGTGTAATGATTGGTGGGACTATTGTAGAGTCATACTCTTAGTTCTTTCGGTAAAGTCACGTAGGTAAAAAACGAAATTAAAATGAATAAAAATAAAACAATAACAGTGATTTTTATTGTTTTATATTTATTAATTTTAATTTCATTTTTTACCTACGTGACTTTACCGAAATAACTAAGAGTATGAATCATTGCAGTCACGAAAGCTTCAAATCTAGAAATATTGTAAAGTCTCCCACACCGTGCCTGCTCCGGGTGCATTGGCACTGCCACGCCAGCTGCCCCGTGACCCTTGCCCGTCCCGACAAGCCCAGAGCCCTGCCCACTCGGGAGTTTGCATTAAACAAACTGCACACGTCCTTATCAAACCCATCATCATCATCATCTTCCACGACTCGTGGGCGCGGTCAATGTAGGGTAGGGGGCATCGCGTAAACACGCGCATCTTGATTAGGAGCTGTGTTTGCGTTCGGAGGCGCTCATTAAGCCGTTCCCACAATAAAATCCATGAAGTGCATCGTCATCATCATCGCGATCACTGAGACGTCGCGAATGATGAGGATGGAATTGACAGCTACCCCCCTTTGGTTCGTCCCGCTGCTGGATTGGAGCGCACCTCACCACGCCGCTCTCGGTCGTACGCACTACACCGTTGAACTTCTTTCGCGCCGTACGCCAGTCAGCCGTGGGTGGGCGAGGGTTGTTTGACCGTACCTCCCATCACGCTGGTCAGCGCGGGGTTGGGGAAGGCATGGGGAGGAGGCAGGGACGTGGGGGCGCAGTTGCGCGTTAGGACAACAGCGGATGTGTTTCTGTCCCGTATCGCACTTGTGACACGCGGGGCATTGCAGAGGCCGCGCATCAGCCTGTGCAGAACAGCAACGGCGTTGGGCAATCACTTCTCCCGGGCTCAAACCTGCTGAGCTTCCGCGAAAGCGACAAGGTCGGGCGAGATCCGGGTCAGGCCAGTGCGTGCTCATCTAAGAAGTCATAAATAAATAAAACAATTATACAGCCCGATTCCACATTAACCGGCGTCCATTCTCACTCCGCTGCTGGATGAAGACCACCCTCCACCTCCTAACACCCATTCGCTATTCAACAACTCGCGGTGACTAGCGTGGCCAAGTATAGTTCAGACAACATCCACGGCGTGGGGAGACCAACTAGCATGGGTGCCTCCGAGTTGCATTTCTCTATACCGTACTCTCCAACTGATCACTATCCCCCCCCCCCTCCAAATTTTAAAGCAAACGTTGGGGGCGCGTCTTATAATCCGGTGTGTGTGTTCGAGAGAGAGAGAGAAATCAGATTTGTATGACTTTATTGAAACCGGCAAACGACTTCGGGGCACATTTAACTCTCCGCATTGGTCTTACAATCTAAAGAAGACGACAAATGCGACAGGGCGCTTCAAAAAAAATGTTAACACTTCCATGGGGACTATTGTTTTAAATGGAAAAAGAACGGAAAATACACTGTAACATGATAACAAATATTATTTTGGTCTTTCGGTAAAGTCACGTAGATAGGTTCAAAGAAAATAACAAAAAACTACGACGTTTTCGATCGCAACACAAGCGTTCCTCTTTTTTCTTCCCGACGATGAACGCTTGTGTTTCGATCGAAACGTCGTAGTTTTTGGTTATTTTCTTTGAACCTATCTACGTGACTTTACATAAAGACCAAAATAACATGAATTCT